TATATATATATATATATATATATATTTTTTTTTTTTTTTTATTTACACAAAAATTAAAATTATTGTTAGCAAAATATTTTAAAGGATAGAATTTTTTCGATTTATTTATTGAGATTTTAATGTATTTTAATAATATAAAATATGTAAGCAACATTTAAAAATATGTTAAGAAAATCATTTATTCTAGTTCTAAAGAAAAAAAAAATTATTATATATAAACTGCATAAACAATTATTTTAGTCAAAAAAATTAATAAAAATCAATTACTATATATAAATGGGATACCCTATAACGGATATAGAAAGCCTTATAACGATCAGCTATAAATAGAAATTCGTATATATGTACATAATTTTTAAACTCTTGCATATAACTAAGTTCGCTTAGTAAAGAACTCTCCCCCATTATATGCACACAATCCCATTAGAGCTGTATGATCTCCTCTATCAGTGCTGCCGCAGGGTGTGCAGGGTGCGATGCTCGCTTTAGTAGTTCACCTGCCTTGATTACCTGCCCTAGTCTAAGCTGCGACACTCATAATTAATACGCTTAAGTTAGCTTACTTAGTTTCAATTTGCACGTTGCGCTGACAAATTTCTCCGCCCTGTTGTCGGGCGTTCATTAAAAAGCCATTAGAGCGGAGCGACGACAACGATGACGATGACGAAGAAGAGGAAGAGTAGGAAGAGGAGCAGAGGAGAAGGAGGAGGAGCTGCAGCTCCAGCTCCAGCTGGAGCCCATTAGAGAACTTCTAACAAACTCGAGTAGAAGAAATTTTGTGGAGCTGGCTGCTAAAATTACGTGTACAAGCGGCATCTGCTCAACTTGTTGTTGTTGTTGGCAAAAAGTTTTCTTTTCTAGCAACTGCGTGGGAAATGCCGTCGATCGGTCACGATCGGCAATCAGCAATCAGCGCTGAACGATCAAAGCGAAGACACAAACCAGCTGAAAGTCCATGCAAAATGCAAAGTTGATTTTTATCATTGCTTGTTGGTTGTTCGTTCGTTTGTTGTTTGTTGTTGCATTTGGCATTCGTCTGGCCTTTAAAGTGATTTGCCACTTGACAAATGAGCTGGCTGCCACATGTGCAATTTAAGAGACGACATCGCAAGGCAACAACAAGAAGAGCAACTGCAACAACGACAACAACAATTTGTGTGTTGCCAATTTGCGCCAAGGGAAAAACAATAGACTCTCTGTTGTCTGGCTTGACAATTTGTGCATTGATTTGGAAAATGGCTCTAACAAATGGCCAAGAAGTGGAGCGCACATGCATATCTATGAAAATGACATGGAAAACTCTGCCGTCGTTGTCGAACGCTTCAAAACAACGCAAAGAGAAAATTTGTTTGTTTGCTCGCGCACACACACACACACAAAGGAAAATTGGCCAGAAAATTGGCGCTATCAACAAAAGCAACTCGAACTCGAGCGCTGCTCTGCTCTGCTCTGCCCAACTGAACTGCAGCAGCAAACAGAGCGAGCCCAGAAAACTTGGAAACAAAAAGCAAATTGGTTAGAAATAGAATATTGTTACCCTATGGACTGACCTTCGTTCGGTGTTTGCTACTAACATTTAAATTTGTTGGTGCAGTCAAAGTTCTTTTTTTTTCAAGGGGCAGAATACCCTATAATTATGTGTGAGTGAGGTGTTTTGGTTTGTACTTGGATGGGAAGGGAATTTCATTAACTACAGGATTTACAGGGTATCTTTAAGGCGAGCCAACAGGAATTTCGTCAGCTACAATACTTAAAGGGTATCTGTTGGACAAACACTATATATAAATATGTCAAATATACATATATTCCATATATATAATTTTAGTATATATAAATATAATATATTAATATAAAATATATATAAATATAATATATATAAATATAATATAATATATAAGTATATATAAATATGTCAAATATATATTCCATATATATAATTTAAGTAATGCAAAGTGATGGCTTTAACCAGTTCGTTGTTCTAAATAACTACAGGGTATCTGTCAATCAAGCAGCTTCGTACTGATAAAATACCTAGAATTATATGTATATAATGACATATATCTAGCTATCTATAGAAAAGCTTATTTGTAAGTATATCACACACTATGTAGTCCATTTACAGGGTATTCTTAGTCCATATTCAGCTGATGCATGTCAAGGGCTTAATCCATATGCTTATTGGATCACTTACAATATTTAAAATCTGTAAAATAGCTCTCAGTAAGACTTTTACAATTATACAGGATATATTGTAGTCGAGCATAAATGCTGATAAGCTAAATATTATATATAAAATTGAGAAGAGTTAAGAAATCTAGCGGATATTTCACAAAAATTAACAACAGAGTATTGATGAGGCAGAGGACGGATTATAATAGACATATACAGGGTATTTATTAGTCGAGCATGCTCGATATATGTATACAATATGTGCTTCAAACTTGTATATGTATAAATAATATAAATAACAACAACAAATCTAGTTTCAATTCACTCCAGCAATAGCTACAGGGTATCTGCCAGTCTAACAGCCCCTCGTCTGGCTCAATTTAACTATTCATTTTTCTCATTCTTATTCGATTTCAACACAAAACGTGCCAAGTTCTTTTTCTGTACACAATCTTTATTTGCAACTCTGGGCACGTTTAACAAATTTAAAAGAGTTCAACGTGCCGCGCGATGAGAATCGAAGAGAGCGGCGCACCGTAGAGCTGAGCGGGCGATGGGGCGAGCACTACACAGAGATGCGGCTCATCTGTGGGCGCTAGCTTATCAGCAAGGTGATAAGAGGCGGTAGGTAGGTGGGGTTACAGCTGATAGCTGCCGGCACTGACTGCCTGTCTGTGTGAGACACACACACACACACAGCTGCAGAGTCAGGGAGAACGTTAGGTTTCCATTCAGTTCGCTTTGTAAAATCGAATGCGAAACATTTCAACGCGAAATTCATTTCAAAAATGTTTGGCTTATTGAAATTCCTGTTACTAACGCTTTGGCTAATTGGTATAGCCCAAGGACGCTCCATAGCTGCAAGGGACTGGCTGGAGGTGAGCATGTGATATATATGTATGTGTATCTATGTGTATCTATAATAATTAATTGAATTATCATGCATTACAGCGACCCACACCGGATCCAACAATATTTGAGAATAAATCGCTGCTTGAGAACGAAATCCATATGAATGACATCGACTATATGTAATATAATATGTAAAAAATTCAAGAATTCCTATACCGTAGGAGTAGGTCTATCACAGTGATAGACCCTGAAGCACGGGTTGAACATCTATTAGTTAACATTTGTATATACAGCCCATGAAGTGCATAATACTCGCCCATGTTAAATAAAAATTGCTGCATTTAGTATATAATCTATATAATACAAGATTGCTGAATTTATTATAAAATGTATATAATACAAAATTACTACATTTATATTAAAAACCATATACTAGATCAATAAAAATTGCAGAATTTATTAAAAATAAATAAACATTTACTGCATAGATGATAAGACCAGGGACCGTAACGATTATAATTTTTATAGCAAAAAATTTAAAAATAATAAATTTTTTTTGATATATAAAAAAAAAAAATTATATTTAATTATTATAAATGATTTTTATCATCAAAATCATTTATAATAATCAAAAATAATTTTTTTGTTTTTCAAAAAATTGAAAATAAAAGTTTATCCTATTTTTGAATTTGCCGTAAAAAAATAACTTATGTGTGTTTTTCCCTCTCTTCTTGGGGCTTCCTAAAGGCCTCGATTTTTTAAAATTCATAACTCTTATTTGCGGTCCCTGGATAAGACTCTATTATAACTTTTTATTAAAGTTCTTTTACAGATTTATTGTAGGTCTATTTTTCGAGAACTTTTCCAACTACAATTATTTGTGGATGTTAATTTAATTTTTTCTAATCTCTTCAGAGCCAAGATCTTGCATACATGAAGAACTTATTTCAACTCTAAGCCTAAGCCGTCGTGCTTTAGAAGTATTTAGAAAAACATTTTCAGACGATGTTAATCCTAGGAGTTTATATATACATATATATACATATATGCATACGAAAAAAATAATAAAAAAATATTTTAATGTATATATATTATATATTAACATTTTAAATTAAAAAAAAAAAACGAAAATAAATTTTGTCGATAAATATACTTTTTATTATTACTTAATTATTTAAATTAAAAATCTCATTGAAAATGCCCATCTAGAAGCGGAAAGTGTACATCGCACCGGCGCCCCAGTTGGGTCTGCTATTGCCATAGGGTCCGCCCAGATGCTGGGAGTACTGGCCCGTGGCATCCAGCGAATGGCGTCCATTGGGACTCTGCCAAACCGGAGCACGTCCATTGATGCTCAAGTCGAAGCCTTGACGTGGACTGCCGCCGCCCTGGACATTCAGCTGGCGGCGCGTGCGCAGCAATTGCTCCAGCTCCGCCTCCTCCCGCTCCCCCTCCTCCAGCAGCAGCGGATCCTGCTCATCGGGCTGCCATTCCAACTGCGACTGCACGAATGGGTTATCCGACTCACTCAAGTCCACCTGATCGACTGCGGCAAGTGAAAGTGAATCCGGATTGGGATAGGCCCAGGCGCAGGCCAAGAAGCCGAGCAGCAGCAGCAGACTGAGATTTTGTTTCATCTTGAAGCTTTGACTGTGAATGATGAAAGGAGCCAAGCGGCTGCTGTCTTTTATAGAGCGAAAGAGTCCCCCAGCCGAGCGAAAGAGTCCCCGTAGCAGGGATTCCCTTGGTGGACGCTCACATTTGTGCTTCACTCGCGTGAAGCACCGCTGATAAGCAACGAGATCTATAGAGAGACATTGATAAAGAACCGCGTGTAAGTCCCCTAGCAGAGACTTGGCTCTGAAACTGAAAAAATTAAGCAAAGGCTGATAAGAAGCAGCTGCAGTTCATTCTCCGCCTATAAAAGCGCAGTTCGAGCTTGCTTAGATTATCAGTTAAGACACCCAAGTCCAGCCTCACAGATACCCAAGATGCGAGTTGCACTCATTGCTCTGCTCTGCTGCCTGCTCGGCTCAGCCCTGGCCATGCCTCAGCCGGAGAAGTTGGACGTGAGCAAGGCGTCGGCATGGACCGAGCGTCCGCCTTCGGGTCCGCCACCAGAGCAGCGATTCCTGCTGGATGGTGGCTACAACAAGGATAAGAGCGGCCGGGATGTCTGGGCCATGGCTCAGGTGCCCGTCTACACCAGCGACAACAAACGCCACGAATTCGATGCCGTCGGCAAATATGGCCAACATCTGGGCGGACCCTACGGCAACAGCCCGCCCTCCTATGGCTTCGGTGGCAACTACAGATTCCGATTCTAGACGGGGAAGATCTATAAAACTTGTAAATATTTGTGGAAATGAGAGTCTTATCAAAATTATGTTAATGTATAATTTTATTTATTGAAATAAAAATTAAAAAAAAAAACTTTAATCTAATAAATCTCTTTTCATTTATAAAATTAAAAAAAAAAACTTTAAATTTAAGAAGAAATAATATACATACACTTAACTAAAATAAGTGAGTATAAAATTCGTCTAGTTTCAACTTATTCTGAATTTCGGTTTTTTCTTGGGACTAAAATAAATTTACTAGGCAAAGCAGATGTCCATATATATTGTCTATATATGTATAGGTTATCAGCATTGAAGCAGAAGCTGTACAAAGTGATTTTTTAGTGAGCTACGAGAAAGGGAAATCCGTAGGGGCAAGTGTATCAAATGTGAGGGGAATTACGTGGAAGACAACATAATATAGATTAGCATAAAATTTTTGGGAAAAAAAACTTTTTGAACAGACCTCATCAACAAATTAATGAATGATATATGTATATTGTAGATAGATACTTTGTATAAATCTTTCCAGCTAACCGGCCAATAAAAATATTATATACATGGTTTAAGTGATGCCGTGGCACGTGCAAGCCGAGCCCAGTCAAGACAGATTCCACAGAGCTCTAAACAATATTTTTAAAGACTCGCCAAGGCCGTCATTATTATATAATTTATGCAAATTTCGTAATGAGAATGAGGTATTTGATAATGACTCATTGTGAGTCCTAGAGTTTTGTTCTTTTCGCTTTCATTCACAAACTTATTAATTAGCTAAAAGTAAAAAAAAAAAAAAAAAATAAACGAAAAATAAAAACATTTATTCATAGACTTTATTTTTGGTTTAAGTCTGACATGATGAATTTTCATTGCAGCCTCTTTTGACAGTTAACGCAATAAATACAATTAGGCAAAGAAAGAGAGAGAGACAGAGACAGAGAGAGAGACAGAGAGAAGAAAAAGACACACCAATAATTTTTGCGGCAGGTTTCATTAGGCAAACAGTCGTCGCGCTTAATTTGTTATTAACAAAAAGCAAATAAAAATTGTAGATCTCACGATATGAAGACACGTTCAATTAGCCAAACTGCATGCTCATCTCGTTGCGACTGTCAGCCGTAAATCTCGTTGGATTCTTGGAGACATGTTCCGGGGTAGTTGAACGTCTTCATGCTCAAGGATAACCCAAAGCACACGGCTCAGTGAAGAGATCTAAAAGAATTCCTAAAGATGAATCGCTGATAAAAACAAAATTTGTTCATTATATTGTTTTTAGCGTAATGTGTGTAAGAGGCAGCAGGTGGGCGTGGCAAATAGCAGATTGGGATGAAGGCTAATCAAGACTAGCAGTAAGTCTGCCTTAGATGAACTCATTGAACTCAAGAACCCCAAAAGAAATATACTTCATATTGACAAAAAAAAACAAAATAAAATAAATAAATAATAAAAATTAAATATTGCTTACATTAATATAAAAAACTACAAGCTCTAATTTTACCCAACTTACAGCTTTTTTAAATATATCTAGTTCATTTTAAATTCAACTCGAATATTTTTAAGGACTTCTCTCTTGAATTAATAAATTAAAATACATTTTTTAGCATTTAATTAATTTTTATTTCAATAAATATAATTATACATTAACATAATTTTGATAAGACTGAATAGCTCTCTCATTGCCACAAATATTCACAAATTCTATAGATCTTCCCTAGCTAGAATCGGAATCTGTAGTTGCCACCGAAGCCATAGGAGGGCGGGCTGTTGCCG